AGGCCGGTGCCTTCTTCGGTGCTTTGTTCGTGTATCCCATTGGTCACTTCTGGGGTCGTAGGGTTGGCCTGTTGGCCTCTGGCTTGGTTTTCACTCTCGGTGCTGGTATCATGCTTGGTGCTAATGGTCAACGAGGACTTGGTCTCCTTTACGGTGGCCGAGTTCTCGCTGGTATTGGTGTCGGAGCAGGATCTAACATCACCCCAATCTACATCTCCGAATTGGCTCCTCCGGCTATTCGTGGTAGGTTGGTCGGTGTGTATGAGCTGGGCTGGCAGATCGGCGGTCTTGTAGGATTCTGGATCAACGTGAGTTTTCCTTTTCGGTTGTGTGCGGGTTGTTTTGTGGATACTAACACATTATCAATAGTTCGGTATTGACGAGACCATGGCACCTAGCCACAAGCAATGGATCATTCCTTTTGCTATTCAGTTGATTCCTTCTGGTCTCTTGATCATCGGTGCCTACTTTATCCGAGAATCGCCTCGTTGGCTCTTCGGACGCGGTCGCCGCGAGCAGGCTATTAAAAACCTTTGCTGGATCCGCCAATTGCCCGAGGATGATATCTATATGATTGAGGAGATCGGTGCTATTGACCAGGCCCTGGATGAACAGCGCCGTAATATTGGCATTGGTTTCTGGAAACCTTTCAAGGCGGCCGGGACCAACAAGAAGGTCATGTGGCGTCTATTCCTCGGAAGCGCGCTGTTCTTCTGGCAAAATGGATCTGGTATCAATGCCATCAATTATTACAGTCCGACTGTCTTCAAATCGGTAAGTCGCAATCTTGTTACGATCCGAGCATTATGACTGATGCTAATAATGCTTCTAGATTGGTGTCAGGGGTACCAACACAAGTCTGTTCACCACTGGAATTTTCGGTGTAGTCAAGACCATAGTGACTTTCATTTGGCTGCTTTGGCTGATTGATCACGTCGGTCGCCGTAACCTGCTGTTGATTGGCGCAGCAGGTGGTTCCGTATGTTTGTGGATTGTCGGCGCGTACATCAAGGTTGCCCAACCCCAAAATAACACAAGCGAGACCTTGAGGGGCGGTGGTATCGCAGCCATGTTTTTCTTCTACCTGTGGACGGTCTTCTATACCCCAACCTGGAACGGTACCCCGTGGGTCCTCAACTCGGTAAGCATCCGCACATTAGTATTGGAACATTGTTCCAGTTCTTAATCAATCCACAAGCGTTAAGACACATTGCTAACAGCACCTGCAGGAAATGTTCGACCCTAACATGCGGTCCCTGGCACAGGCCTGCGCCGCCGCCTCCAACTGGCTCTGGAACTTCCTCGTCTCGCGATTCACTCCGCAGATGTTCACAGCCATGGGATACGGTGTATACTTCTTCTTCGCATCATTGATGATGCTCTCCATTGTCTTCGTGTATTTCCTCGTCCCTGAAACCAAGGGTATTCCTCTTGAGAGCATGGAACAGCTGTTCGACATCAAGCCCGTGCGGCATGCCCATGGGAAGATGGTCGCCCAGCTGCGTGAGAATGAAGAGCTTTTCCGAAATGACGTCGAGGCTGCTGGCATTGATATTGGAAAGATGCGCACTGAGCAAGTCGAGGATACTTCGGCTCAGTGAAAGTACGCTTGAACGATGCGGTGGTGAATCATTTCCGTGTTGGTGTCTTTTGCCGCGTTGTTGTGATTTTGTTTGTCGGACAAGGTGCCAAACCGCCCTCGCAATTATTTAGGATTGCACATCATGTGGTCTGCGTGTAATAGGATGTGCTGGTTTAAAAGAAGCAAATGACCCAATGAATATACCCCTTAGTGTCTTGTCATCGCCCTTTTGGACATATCATAAGAAGATCAAACAGACGCACGCACCTCACAGATCAGTAAACTCACACTCACATCAGTCTGTAGCTAACTAGTCATCCGATTTTGCCAACAAGTTAACATCAATATCGACAGGCTGACCCGACCACATAGCCTTCTGAACAGCCTCACAAACAATCAACGCACGCAAACCTTCCTCACCAGTACAGCTAGGAGCCGCATCTCCATTGATAACATCGACGAAATGTGCAAGCTGCAGGTCAAAAGGCGCCTTATCATCTGGAAGCGGAATCCGCTCAACAGTCAATGGTGAATTCCAGCTCTTCTCAGGGCTAGCATCATAACTCCAGCGGGTCAGGTCGGGCACACTGAGCGAAGCATCCGAGCCAAAGATTCGATAGAAATCAGAGTCACCGCCAGTCGTCGTCCGTGGGATGAGCGGGTTCTCGCCCGTACCAGTCTCGAAGTTATGCGGCGACGGCGTCACATCGCAGACCAGAAACGTGCCGACAACACCCGATGCGAAGCGCAGCGTCAGTGCGGCACCTTCATCGGCATTGTGTGGTGGGCTTGGGCGCTGCGGCAGCGTGCGCTCTGCTGTCACGCGCACGATAGGCCCGAAGAAGTGGTGCATGAGGTCGATGTCATGGACAAGGTTGATGGGGATGACACCACCTCCACGCTCGTTCGATGCGCGCCAGTCTGTTGGCGGGGCGAAGTATGCATCTGGCTTGAACAAGGTCCACAGACCGTTGATAGCAATGGGGCGGCCGAGAGATCCAGCATCTAGGGCGGCCTTCGTAGCTCGCACGTAGGGATTGAAGCGGCGGTGGTGGCCGACTAGGAGCTTGAGGTGGGCGCGCTCTGGGGCTTGGGCGAACTCTAGTAGGGAGCGGCCAGTTTCCAGCGTATCGCTTACGGGCTTTTCAAGGAGAACGTGGATACCACCTGCAAGGAGCTCCTTTGCGACGGGGACGTGGGTGTGGTTTGGTGTGCAGACGATTGCTGCGTCGGGGCGGTGGGGGGATGCAAGCAGTGAGGCCACAGAAGGGTAGTAGTTGGTTTTAAGACTGGATGCGGTTGCTTCGCCAGCCGGCATTGGGTCAACGAGAGCAATTAGCTCTGTTAAGGGGTTTGAGATTACGGATTGCGCGTGACGAGGGCCAATAAGGCCTGCGCCGATAATGGCAACCTTGACGGACATGGCGATGATTGGGATGAAAAGCAGATTTCGGTTCTGAAAGAATTGAACAAATTCAAACCCGTTGTAACCCGTAGAGCTGAAGCAGAAAGTGTATTATTATTGCGCCGGACTCCGAGTAGCATGACCATTCGGCACCGGTTCTCCGGTTACATTCCGACCAGCACGGTAAAAACCTTGCCGGGTATCTACGGGTATTTTCCTTCTAAGGACAGGTGGGCAGGAAGCATGTTTAATGGGGAAGCAAAATTCCGCGTGGTGGGTGGAACAGTGCACTCCAGGCGTGGTGGAATTGGTGGGAAAACGAAAGCGGGTCAGCGTTTACCCAGACATATGACCCTCTATCAGGTTCGGCCTCGTCATCAAGACACGAATCACAGCAGACCAGGAAAAACGTTCAATCATAGAAAGCACCGTAGGGGATAACGTTTTGTCGCAATCATTTTAGTATCTTCCCTTTTGATAACCTAGAAAACACCTAATATTGTTGAGAACATCCTCGCTCCCTTAATATCTCCGCTTGGAAACTTTCTTAAAAAGAGAAGAAAGACTGACACGAAACCACCTTTTGAATTTATAATATCGACATAGAAAAGAAGTACCCATTCATATAACTCCCAAATGGCTTTCAATCGTCCCGCTATCGCCTCAATGTCCCTAGGTCGGCCCTGGGTACACGATCTACCCGGCAAGCTGATGCAAGCCGCAGCCCACGGCTTCGAGGGCATTGAACTCTTCTTCGACGATTTAGACTGCTACGCGCAGCGGGTATTTGGCGGTGATCACCACGAAGCCGCGCGGTCAACACGGCTGATGTGTAAGCGCCTAGGGCTGACCATTATCTGCCTGCAGCCATTTTCCATGTACGAGGGCCTCATCGACCGCGCAGAGTCAGATCGGCTTATCAATGAGAAACTTCCCAAATGGTTCACACTGGCGCGGGCGCTAGGTACAGACATGATCCAGATTCCGTCAAACTTCCTAGGTCCAGACCCGAAGACCGGTGCTGCTCGCACCACTGGCGACCGCACGGTCATTGTTCGTGATCTCCAGCGCTTAGCAGATTTGGGCGCCGGGGCTGGTTTCCGTTTTGTCTACGAGGCTCTCTGCTGGGGCGATCACGTTGATACCTGGGAGGCCTCGTGGGAGGTGGTCCGTGATGTCGATCGTCGCAACTTTGGTCTCTGTCTTGACTCCTTCAATATCGCCGGTCGTGTATATGCAGACCCTGCTAGTCCTTCGGGTCGCACCCCCAATGCGGCTGCGGACTTGGCTGCCTCATTGCAGCGCCTGCGCACTGCCAACATTGACCCGGCCAAGATCTTCTATGTCCAGCTGGTTGACGGTGAGCGTCTTTCCGCCCCGTTGGATGAGAAGCATCCTTTCTATGTCGCTGGACAGCCTGTTCGCATGAATTGGTCCCGTAACGCTCGTCTATTTCCCCTCGAGGAATCGCGTGGTGGTTATCTGCCCATTGTGGATATCGCTCGCGTCTTCTTCGAAGATCTCGGCTTCCGCGGCTGGGTTTCTCTTGAACTCTTTAGCCGAACTCTCGGAGAGACCGATCCATTTGTTCCTGCCGACCACGCTCGCCGCGGTATCGACTCATATAACAAAATGGCTCGTATCTTGCGCTGGGAAGAGCCTGCTGAGAAAAATGTGGTCCCAACTCCGGCGCCTCAGTCACCTGTTCAACACCGTCTCTAGGTCGGTCTTCACTCTGCTTTTTCGCTCTGTATATATGGCATATGTACATACATCTTTTAGCGCCTTTTAATGATATTTATTGTTCCACATACCTGTACTCGATGGCCAGAGAGGGCGCTTTCCAGGGTTGACCGAGCTCTATTACCTAACCTGTGTGCTTTACCTACCAACATTCTACTCCGTACAATGAAACGCAACCCAGATGAGGATTAACTTGTACTGTGGGATGTGAGCAATATCGCAGTGAATAGCTGATAATGCCATGCTTGTCTGCTCAATTCAATTGCTTATTTAGGCGCTCTTGTTGTTGATCTTAAGGAGCTCAACCTCGCTGCAACATAGTTAGTTTCCCGATGGCATTATCCACTTGCAGTAACTTACAAGATAAGAGTCGAGCCTGCGGGAATCTTGCCAGCTGCCCTGTGTAGAAATAAAATGTTAACATTTTCAGCTAACGGATGTCAGTATGTCGAGTGTGTTCACATACTTGTCACCGTAGCCATAGTCCCTGAGAAAAATGTTAGTGGTAGTTCAATATTCTCTTGTTCGATGTGGACTTCACTCACGGGGAAATGATCAGGGTTGCCTTCTCTCCTAGGGTCATCTGCAAAACACCCTCATCCCAACCTAATCAGACAGAGAGATAGTGTTAGCATCCAATTTGGAATGTGAAGAAGTTCAATAATTGAAAGTCTGAAAGATCCTATTGAGAGAGAGAAAAAAGAGGATATGATACCCTTGATGACCTGTCCAACACCAATCTGAACAGTCAAAGGGCCACGGCCGGGGGTTCTGGAGCTGTCGAATCTATTGGGATGGATAATTAGTATACAAAATACTCAATTCATAACCTAAATGACTCTAGGTATGGCGATCAGCTTACTGCTTGCCCTGGAAGCCCTTGTTGGACTTCTTAGCGTCGTAGAGCCATCCCGAGTAGTGGATAGCGACCTTGTCACCCGAAACAGGCGAGTCAGTGCCGTTGCCACGAGTGATAATCTTTCTCTCGACACCCATTTTAAATTCGTTTGTATTAAGGAGAGACGAAAAAAAGTAAGAGATGAAAGAAGAAGTGAGGTTCGAGGGGCAACGCTGATTCGTAATTTTCTAAAGTGGGGGGACCTACAAGCCTCATTGTGGTCACATGATCTACGTCTCCGAGTGATTGGAAATTTGGAATCCTCGAGTGTATGATTCCCTACTCCTCATACGAAAGCATGCGATCCTTTCTGTATCGCATCTGGTAGCATTTCCCTAAGTTCTTCCTTATATGTCAAAAAATGTATCCTGTTTCAAAGATTCACCGTTAAGACTCTTTTCATAGGCATTATCGCCTTGGAAGAATACTTTCTCGATCCTTGATTTATTTTATTTAAACCTCTTCAAGTTGATGATGTTGTGCACCCATTGATTGCTATTGCCGCATGAAAGATGGCAGGATGTCCTTCGCACATCTAATGCACCAACTGACCCAGAATATATCCAAAGTAACCCAAGTGCCAGCGCTTGATCCAATTTAAATGAACCCGACATTTATCGATCAGACGAATTATAAAATTTATAGAACGGGGGTGTGGGCCTTTATTGTTTATGCCCAGACATTGTAGTCTGATCGTCTGAATGTGGGTTCTCAGCCTTATGCCAGACACGGATCCTCTTATCGGGCAGCTGCGCATAACCATCATACTATATCCTACCAGTGGCACTTGGAGAGCCTTGTCGCCCTTTCAATGACGGATTCTATTGCAGACCCATCATTAAATGGTTGTGGATCATCGGTGGCTGGGACTTTTAAGAGCCCATACTTGCACGTTCGAATGCGTTGATCTTGTTTTTGCCAGTCAGGCATGTGAATTAACATCTGGATTTGTAAGGTCGAAGAAGCGTACAAAATAAGAAGAGAAGATGTCATGGCTGCGTATAAACTCCACTCTTGCCGATCCGCCAGTGGTACGTGCCCAACTACATATTGTACTTGATAAACGGTACTGTGCATTAATATGGGAATTATTCTTCATTTTACGAACAGATGTTGGATAGTATTACACTTTATATGCTAGGAATGTAAACTGTCTTTGTGGGTGGTCATTATGCCTCTCAATGCACGAAGTAGAGATACCCATTTCCCAGATCTATGTTGTATGCACGGGGTACAAGATAAATTGATATGTAATTGCAAGTGGACCCAGTATATCATTGGCCACCGTGGAGTATGGGATACACACCGAATATTTACAATAATGTTGCCTATGATGTATTTCATTTGCGACAAATTGCGAGGCGTTGTTTTAGGGGTCCAGAACAAGATACAGTACCGCAACCTAAAACATTCGGTAGACCTGACACACCCTGAGACAAATCCTGATACATATACTGGGAGTTCTCGACACTTAATTTCGTTCAAGTCTACTCCGTATGTTGTAGTGTTTGAAAAGATGAGCCGGGCTATTAATAGCGGCTCCGTACATATACATTGACTCTCACGTGACACGGCAAGTGTTTCACATCCTCCAAACAGCACGGGAGGCCTGGGCTTCGATATAAAGGATCAGGGTTAATGTAGGCACTGCCATTAAGGCTGGATGTCTTCAGGTTGCAATTTAGCTTCTCGGGAATATCATTAAAATCTCCATGGAGGCTCCGGATTCTTTGGGAAACTACGGTGTAGAGACTGAAAATGAAGGACCGAAGGCCGGAGATAGCGTGTGAGAAGTGTTTGAGACAAAATACTCGTACCGTGGTCAAAACACTGGGGCTATGGAGCGATCCTTAGAAGTGAATTGCTTCAGATCCGAAGCTGCCCAGGAGAAGCTGAAAGATGGCTTGGGCCTCTTTCACAGACGGTGGCTTTTTAATTGGGTTGATATTGTTGGGAGAATACAATAGTACCCTCTTCATTATCACTTTAGCGGAGATTAAATCAGATACAAAATTCAGGGGTATCAAGAAGCTCATTGGTCGTTGCATTGAGGAAATGAAACTCCGCACGTTCTGGGCTGCGCGTCCTCAGTCAGAGTACTCCGTACCAGCGTACATACTAGGGGTTAGGGTACAATTTAGATAAGGATAGGTCGGGCAGTTACAGAGTACAATAATATTACATCTATACCTTGTGAAAGGAAAAGGATTGGTAGAGGATAGAGCACTTAATATGCTGATATTGTAAGTTACGTGGGGAAAAAGACCTTTCTGTGGCAGAAAGCCAAAAGTTCACCTTCTAGTCTCTCCTTTCTCATCCCTCCAACCCCCTAATCCCAGTCTCATGTTTCATTGCTTTTTCTTTTCTTTTTCTTTTCCATTATAGTCTTAACTCCCGGATTTCATTTCCTTTCGCCTCGGGGCTTCTGTCTGTCCAATCTCCAAACCAATTCAACGCCCGCGAGGGGCAATCTCCGTTTCGCTTCGCCTGTTGCGCTTAATGGTCACAACATCCGCGATCATTTATCTGAAACACTTCTGTAGCACGGCTAGCAGTGCCTGGTATGTCGAGAGATTGATATTCATGATCCTTGGTTCATAGGCAAATGATTGCCGTTATCATCCTAGTCCGACCTGCTTGTCTTAGTTCAGGACAGATTGGGCGGACTGGTGTCTTACGCTTAAACCTAGTGTTGGATCACGTTTTTAACTCCTCGGTAGTCTGCAGATTCAGCCACCATTCGTCCTTCCAGCACTTGTTGCATCTTCCCCTCCAAACCCGCACCGACGTCCCTATCTCCCTAATATCGGCGTCCCGCCGTTACGCCCAAGAAGCATCTTAAAGCCATCAGCACCAACGGCGCATGTGACTGCGAGTGAGATCTTCTGTAGCGATCACGAATCGCCCGGATACACACAATTTTGGACTTAGTCTGCGCCCCCGCCAGACTTATATTCGGATCGATATACGGCCATACTCGACCTTACATTTTGCGCGGTAGACGGTGGATCTCAAGATGGAGAATCAGGGCGCTTACCCGGAGTCTATGGAGCAGGACGAGTCCTACCCATGCAAGGGCTGTGGAGAGGTAGGCACACTGTGGGTGGAGGGAGCGGACAGGAGCTTGACTAACCGTCCTGGCAGACCCTTGAAGAAGGAAAAGCATTTGAGCTTGGTATGTGGGATATTGTGGGGGAATTTTTTTTGGTCCATTTTCATGTCGCTAACCTCTGGCAGCTGGAAATCGATGGCACATCGACTGTTTCCGATGCAGTACATGCAACACTCTACTGGATTCGGATGCGCACCTCCTCCTTTTAGGCGACGGATCACTTATATGCAGTAACTGCACATACAGTTGTAGCTCATGCAACAACAAGATTGAGGATTTGGCCATCTTGACAGGAGACCAGGCTTTCTGTGCTCAATGCTTCCGATGCCGGAATTGCAAGCGAAAAATTGAGAACTTGCGCTATGCGCGTACTTCTCAGGGTATTTTCTGCATGGAATGTCACGAATCGCTAATGGCACGGAGGAGAAAACGGAAAGCCGGCGGCAGTAGTGGGAAAAAACCAGCAGCACCAAATGTGAAGCTGGACAAATCTTTGCCCTCGTTGCCTCCCCACCTCCTTGAAGAATCGCAAATAAACGATGAGGAGAACAGCGAATATACAGGCACGCCTGACCCTAGTAAAATGGCGGAAACGCCCGATCTAAATGATGAAAGACCGGGAAGCTCAATTTCAAATCAGCAGGCTGATTCAGGTAAGAAACCCTTGTTGCAGTCTAGATGTATAATCATCGCAGTCTTTGTCACCTTATTGTCATATCGTGCACATGTGGTCACATTGTGTGGTCTATGCAGCGCTTTGTATCCTTTTATGCACCATTGTTGCCACCGCATATACTTATTGTCGTTATTGATCTATAAGAATATAACCTCGCGCGTTCAGGGCTGGAACCCTTCTCGCGCGGTGTCTTGTCGCCCGGTCATGAACTCTTACTTACCTTTCACACAGATAATATTCTTCTTCCCTCCAGCACATACCGCAGCAATCGTCAATCAATTTCACACAACACCGATGCAGATGCAGATGGCGGTGAACTGTTAATTCCTCTTGCCTTTGATCCTTCAGCTGAGGGTAATTCCTCCCGTGGTCACTCACAGACACGACAGGAGCCTCCGGGCGACTACTTTAATCAAGCGTCCCACGACGGCCGTGAATATCGACAGGAACCTCCTTCTCGAACATCTTCCGATAATCATTCTCCCCATATTGCCTATCAGGAGAAAGGTTGGGAACAAAACAACTCAACTTCACCCGATAAAGCACCATTACCAAGCTCCGATTCATCCAAGCCTGCAAAGGGTCGCCACACTCGTAGCTCATCCGACATACCAATCAGCTTCAGAGAAACTAGCAACCTTTCTGGGCCTACTAGCCCCGACAGCACCAGATCAAAAGAATTCTCCGGTGACACAAAGCGACACATTCCAATGGATGACTTCACTTCGGCTGGAGCTCGTTCCTCGAATGAGCTTCATCGTCACGACCACGGTTCAATGGACTTGCCGCGCTCTCAACCCTCCAGCTTGCCGTATTTGCCAAAGCGCGGCGATTCACTTGAAAGCAAGCTTCACCAAATTCCGAGAAAAGAGGTCGGATCGTCACCTGCATCGTCGCAGTACGGGGACTTGCCTATGCTCCGTAGCGACACTTTCGAACAGCCCATTCAGCATACTGCCTTGAACACCTCGCCACATGAATCACACCATTACGATGGCGCCGGCACATCGCCCGTGCTACGGTATGGAGCTGACTTGCCTATGGACGAGGGATTATCGCGCATCATCGGTGGCGATGACACCGTTGGGCAAAACAACGAGTCATTTCTGCGGCGCGTCTCAAACTCTGTCCGCCATGGTCGAAGCTACAGTGAGAAGAGTGTGCGGATCAGCAAAGATCTCAAGAACCCTCGATCACCTACCACTCGAAGCATCGCCGGAACAGATGTTGGCAGCCCCATCACTGGATCACAGAGTGAAGAGATCTCTTGGCTTCGCAACGAACTGCGCAAAGAACGTCTGCGAGTTGCAGAACTCGAGGCAGCCGCTCGTACCGCCGCAGATGTCAAGCAGGCTAACACCGAGCTTTCTGAGAAGCGATCTACCATGGTTGTCCTTGACGCTCAGCGCGAGATTGTTCTACGTGAGCTCACGGTTCTCACTGATCATATGGAGGCTGAAAAGCGTGGTAGCCCCAGTGGGCCATTGGACCTCGGCAAGCTCTCCAACCATGTGCTGCGCGAGCTGGCTGAGTCCATTCAAAAGCTGAAAGACTCGTTTGCCCCACAAATTGAAGACCTTATGCAGAAGCGCAATGACCTGTCGGAGGAAGTGGAAGCCATGAACATTCGACGGGAGAAGAGCTTCCAGGAATTCGAGCAATTGTCTTCGAAGAACGCACAGCTAGCTGAGTTGAATAATCAGTTGGTTCACCAGATTCAGGAACTCTACAAAGCCACGGACGGTCAACCGCGACCCAACGGCCTAGGCATATCGCACAACAAGCAGAGATCCACAACCTCCATTGAGGTCATGAAACCTCCCTTCAACGACTATCACGGATCTACTCACATTTCGGAAGAGTCCGAGTCTGCTACAGCCACTGTCGTGCCAGGCCCCCAGGTTGTCAGCATTCGCAAGGGCCAGCCTCGCAAATTCAACTGGAAAAAGGGCGGACAGAACGTTGCCAAAGGTGTCAAGGGTCTTAAGGGGGCCTTCATGTCCAGCGAAGGAGGACAGGGACAAGAGGGTGGCGGTGGTATACCGCGTTCCCAGACCCAGGACCCGAGTCGCCAAGGCTTTGGGTTCTTTGGAAACCAGAGAGGCAAGCAGGGAGGAAAGATGTCCCAAGCTGACAGCGTGCCCGTGTTGATTGAAGCTGCCCCCGATGGTATGTGCCCGATACTACAGTTCAGGATTATATCAGTATAAGCTAATGACTCTCGCAGCTCTTTTCGGTACCGAACTCGAGGCTCGCCAGGAATACGAAAAAGGCATGATTCCAGCCATCGTCACGCGCTGTATCCAGGAAGTTGAACTGCGAGGTATGTTTTGTCGGTCGGTATTCGATTTGTCGTTATACTAACATATACGATCAGGCATGGACATGGAAGGAATTTATCGCAAGTCCGGTGCCGCTTCCGTCATCCAAACCATTCGCGAAGGCTTTGAACGCTCTCCATTTGATTACGATATCTCGGATCCCGACCTCGATATCCATGCTGTTACATCCACTTTGAAACAGTATTTCCGAAAGCTTCCTAACCCCTTGATCACTTACGAAGTTTATGAACTTGTGATCGATTCCGCCGAGGTTAACCCTGTGTCCGCGCGAATTGAACTCATGCAGAAGAGTCTCCTCGAGCTGCCTCGCGTGCACCGCGACGTCCTGGAGTTCCTAATCTTCCATCTCAAACGCGTTGTCGATCGCCACGAAGAGAATCTGATGACCAGTCAGAATGTTGCAGTGGTCTTTGCGCCGACAATCATGCGACCTGAAAGTCTCGCTCGTGAGATGACTGACGTCCAGAAGAAGAATGACGTTCTCAAGTTCCTGGTGGAGAACTGCCAGAAAGTTTTCCAGGGTATGCAGAAGGGCCAGGGTACGCAGCAGGGTCAGGGTATGCAGCAGGGCTAGGATCGGCTGAAGTACATACTTCTCTTCCCAAGTACTCACTTCCACTCCAATCACTCCAATCTTTCATAATCCTACCATCATGCCTAGGTGCCTCGGTTTTCCCAGTTCTTGGGTACAATCTCTAACTAATCATCAATTTTTCTTTGACTAATCCCACGTGCGCTTTAACTTGCTTTTCTCCCCCTATTCTTTTGTACAGGCTAGTTCCTCTCACCTCTGCTTCTACTTCTCTACTCGGTTTACGAGCGCTGTACGCTCGATAAAGATACCCTGTCTTACCTTCTTCTCTTTCCTCATGTCCAACCTTTTCTCCCAGCTAAGGCTGTGGTTCAATCTGGCCTCACTGGCTGTTTTGGTAACCAACATTCCTCGTGGGTGGTTTACTTCCTGTCCATTGAAGCATTTTACTGTTTTGTTTGTTTTTTTGACTCTGAGCGAGCATTGAATCGTGTTCTAGCGTTATGTTATGCACCTCCATTCAGCAGTTCAAGTAGCTGCAAAGTCGTTCATGTACGTTTAGTTAGGCTTTAGTATGAGATCATGATATCATGAATCTTTCATTTCATAGAACGTTCTCTTAGTTCATACTCACACATCAAGAGTTTTTCGTAGGGATTTTTCGGTTTGGCAAGGAAGTCTGACCACTATCAGAGGGATATCGATAATATAATATCTTTTATCTAATTTCCGGCCAATACGATCATTACCCGAGTCTCATCAATAATAATGGAGGTATAAGTGAGTTCTTGTAAATGGCAGAGTGGACATAGCGGTCCAAGCCCCCACCGCCTACGACATCGAGGCCACCCGAGCTCCCCCCTCAACCCCGAAAACGCACCCAAGCCTCGTCGAAGGCCTTTGAATCCCGCAAATACATAATCAATCATGTCCAAACCAAGCAAATACATCCTCCTTTCTCTCCCTACCTCCATCGTCCCCTCGCACCACCGCGACGATGCCCTCGAAGCAGTCTCGACCACTGTCTCCTCGGACAATGGCTCCACCAACTCCTTCCCAATCCCGGAGTTCAAGATCGGCACGCTAGATGCCCTTGTCCAGCAGGCGGACGAGCTAGCCAAGCTCGAGGCCTCGTGCCAGAGTGTCGTTGCCAAGGTCAGCGATGCGTTGAAGAACATCCTTGAGGACGAGGCGCAGATTGAGCAGATGAAGGTCGTCAACGATAGTATGTCTCTAGCTTGGTATTGATCTGGCTGTGGAGGGGAAAACACAGTCTGGGAGGATGTCTGGGTTCTGGTTCTGACTGCCTACAGAGCCGGTCGATCAGTACCTGCGTACTTTCCAATGGAACAAAGTCAAGTACAGGGCCGATAAGCCCTTGGCGGAGCTGATTGATCTCCTGCAGAAGGTTTGTTGCGCCGCGCATGGAAACGAGGAGAATATCTGGCTTGGAGTTACATACTAATGCGCTTTTGTCTACTGTAGGAAGCAGCCAGCATCGACAACGACATCCGTTTCAAGTACTCCCAATACAACCAGGTCAAGAACACGCTGTCTACACTGCAGCGGAAACAAACGTATGTTGACTGTGACGGCACTGCAACGTGTGCATATAGTATATAGAACCATGACTAACCCGCTCTACACAGAGGCAATCTCTCAACCAAGTCCCTCGCCTCAGTGGTCGACCCGAAAACCATCATCCAGGGCTCCGAATACATCGAAACCCATCTCGTCGCCGTGCCCGCCCAGCTAGTAAAAGAATTCCTCAAGACCTACGAGACCGTTGCGCCAATGGTGGTCCCGCGGTCCGCGCAGCTAGTCGCCTCCGACAGCGAGTTCACGCTGTACGCCGTGACAGCGTTCAAGAAGCACAACGCCGAGTTCCTGCATAAGTGCCGTGAGCAGAAGTGGATTCCACGCGACTTTAAGTATGTCGAGGGTGGAAAGGAGGAAGAGCGCAAGGAAGTCGAGCGCGTTGGTGGTGATGAGCGTAAGGTATGGGGTGAGACGCTGCGACTCGGTCGCACGGCTTGGAGTGAGGCTGTTATGGTCTGGATTCACATTTTGGTTCTGAGAGTGTTCGTCGAGACGGTGCTGCGATATGGATTGCCGCTGGATTTCATCTGCGCTTTGGTCCGGGTATGTTCTCTTCTGCTCTGTTTTCCGGTAGTTTTTACCGTGGCAACGACTGACGTTCTTTACTTTCTACAGACACAAACTGCCAAGCAAGCAGATCGCGCAAAGCAAAACCTTGAGAACAAATACTCGTACCTGGCGGGCAATGCCTTCGGGCGAGACAAGAAGGGCCGTATGCAGCGGGATGATCCTGGCGAGATGCACCCCGGCGGTGAGGGCAGCGCAGACTACACACCGTATGTGTTTTATGAATTCGAGTTCAACTGAGGCCTATTTGGGGCATCATAGGAGATAGAAAGCTTCGAGAAGACGTTGCGTACATATACCACTTTGGTACATCTATCACAAACTAGCATTGGATATTTTTAGTTTCTTCGTTTCAACAATGACCACGCATACAAGCGAACAGCAAAAGGGGATCGAGTCCCATTATCCATTCTCGCCCCAGCCCATAAAATGCAAGTGCAAAAGCGATCTATATTGTCCACGCAGTATGTACAGCAAGTGGGAGGGGAATCAAGCACAAAAAACACCGTATCTAATCCGCTGTACAGGACTCTTTTATGTAAAGCCGACCATAGATACATCCATCAAATCTCAACCATATCCCAATCCCAAATAAAAGCACCCAAAGAAACCCACCTTACTCCTTCTTGGCAGGCAAGTAACCCTTGGAGTCAAGGTAATCGATAATCTGCTTCACAGCATCCTGAACGGGAAGCTCATAGTTCTTCACATGAACCTCGGGGTTGACCGGCGCCTCGTAAGGAGCCGAGATACCCGTGAACTCCTTAATGAGACCCTCGCGAGCCTTCTTGTACAAACCCTTAGGGTCACGCTGCTCAGCGACCTCAACGGGGACATCAACGTAGACCTCGACGAACGGCAGACCGGTCTCCTCGCCGGGCGTGGCGACCTCGTGCAGCTGGCGGGCAGTGTCACGATCCTTCCGGTAGGGCGAGATGAACGACGTAATGGCGATGGAGTTGGAGTCGGCGAACAGCTTGGCCACCTCGGCAATGCGCCGGATGTTCTCGTTCCGGTCGGCCTCGCTGAAGCCAAGGTCCTTGTTCAGTCCGAAGCGGATGTTGTCGCCGTCGAGGCGGTAGGCGTGCACGCCGCGGTCGCGAACGAGCTGGTGCTCAAGCTCGACGGCTAGGGTTGACTTGCCTGAGGCGGAGAGTCCGGTCAACCAGATTGTGAGACCTTGCTGGTTGCGCAGCGCGGTACGCTCGCTGCGGGTCAGGGCGCTGGCGTGGAAGGTGATGTTGCTGTTTGGTGTTAGTTTTTTTGGATAGATTGGCATTGGGGGTTTAGTTTGGACTCACGAAGACATTTTGGAGGTTAATTGGATTAAAGAAAGAAGAAAGTTGAGATCCCGGAAAAGTTATAGAAATAGGGAGGGGCAGTGGGACGGCCGCGTCACATAAGAAGATGTGATCACCGCGGGGTGTCGCCATTGCTTGGCGTTTTTCCACTCTTATACAACAGAGGGAGATATTTTATAGTATAGTCTTATAGTCTTGTAATCTTGTATAATCTTTGATATTACTGATAATATTCATTTCTTCACGCAATTCTAATCTCATTTACATATGAAAGGTCTAATTGTCTTAATTCGCCATTACGCCAGGAACCAGGAACAAGAACCAAATGCAGAAATTTCGGAAAGGACAGAAATTTCTCAATCACGCCACTTTGTAGAGACTCGAGAGCGCCTGGGGAAATTAGTCAGAGGAAAAAAGTCAGAATCCAATATTTTCAACTTACAGCAGCTTGTCGGGGCTCAATGAACAAAGCCTTAGCCTCAACCAGGACTACAGGCTCCGAACCATCAATCGGAAGAGTCTCAATACGACCTTCCACCCACGCCTTGCGACCCTCGACCTTAACAGTCTCCGCGCGGAGGGCAACATACTGATTCGCCATAGCCGGAGCACGGTAATCAATATTCAGATTGGCGGTAACGCCGACTTTATTAGGCAGAGCCGGGAAGCAACAACGCGCCAGACCCTCGTCCAAGAGCGTAGCCAGTAGACCACCGTGAATAATACCCTGGTGACCGCAGACATCGCCGCCGAGATACATGAGCGAGATCATGGTCTTGCCCCCGCGCTCGCTGAATACATATGGCGGCACGACAATCTTGCCCGGTCCTGCTAGCGTTCCGGCTGTCAGGTTGCGTTCGCGCAGAGGGCCCGGGATTGTAAGGTGTGGGCGCGATTCGCTGAAGTCGGGGTCTGCGCGGAGGGCCTCTGCGACGGGGTGAGTGCGGATTGTGTTCTCGATCTCCGTGATCTCGGAGTCGGTGTCAAGGAATGCGGTCAGGACCTCCTCGTCATTTGGGGTCGCCATGATGCGTGAGAGGGTGCGTTGGGTTTGATAGGTAAGCCCGATGGTGAATGTGAAGACAGCGATTGTGGTGAAGCCGATAAAGCGGCGGAGACGAGAGCGCTGGTTTTGGGGGGGTGGGGGTGGGTGGATAGAGGCCGAGGGACTTGCTGCGATTACCGGGTTAGCTCCTTTTGGAGGGCGCGGACTGTTTATAACTTACCGGTAGAGTAAGACCGGCTATGGAATCGCTTCGGAGCAGCGGGAGTTGCGGGTAGAGAGTTGCGGAATACCAGTCGTGAAGGAGAGAGTGTGGAGGGGAAGGAAATATTGCGAAGAGAGTGAGGAAGAGAAGTAAAAGATCGGAACATCATAAATTATAAAGAGCGAAAAACAATTAAAGCAAACGATCCAAATTTAGAGATCCATGAAGGCGAAGTTGTTGAGAAAACAGTGGTTGAGGATAAGGCGAAGTGGATTTCGGTGAGATTTACCTCGGCATCTTGACTTCGCCGAAACATCCTCTTCGGAGGTTGAGATTTATATTTGATTAGGGTATTAAGACTTAAAAACTACATGGGATCTCTTATTGTTTCTCTGACTCTATACTTCGGAATCGAAATACACACATGTGTACATACTCCGGAACAAGACAACATAGTAACGTGGCAACCCCATATCTCAACAGCCACGGTGTTATTTGATTTAGTGTCACTTGGTAGCTAATAATAGGTCTTCTCAACATTATCACTTGCAAGAAAATCGAAAATCTTCGTTCTTATCTTAGAATGATAATTATATTGCTAAAAGCCAGAACTATGCATGTATATCGCAATCACAATGCCACGAACTTTCTTCAACCATGCCAAAGAGACTAGATATCACCTAAGAACAAGCACGAAGGTATAAGAAAATCTTCGCGCAGACTACTTTATTAAGATATTAAGTTGAAGTTTATCAGATTTAATATGTCTTTTAGGATTGGCTTAATAGTAGGCTAGAGATGTCTCGTAAAGTTTAGTTGACCTTTGATATTCTCCGCTCTTAAGGGTAAATTGATCTACAAACCCCCCGGCATATTTCCTTTAGAAGACTATGAATGAGTCCGGTGGCATTTCTCCGCAAAATATATCCCCGCATGAATTCTCCGGATTTGAGAAGAAGTATGGGGTGCGGAGTATGGACTTGTGTGGAGATCCTTGGCATTGTATATACAACAATGCGATTAATGTCTTATCCCACCGGAAATATCTTATATAAAAGGGCCTTGTGTTTCAGACAATGCCTAAAGAATAGCTAAATCACTAGGTTATCTACCAGACTTTCAATTCGCCCAAACAATTCAAAATGATACACTCCAAGGATTGGTGGAAACCTCTCGCTATATTCGTCTGCTTTTTTCTTTCTCTCCCCTTTCCCGTGGATGGACAATCCAGCTCAAATACCAAGGATGTTGGAGCTCAGGCTTTTGCATTTGATCTTGGTGGAGTCCAATTGACACAAGACCGCTTCCTGGAAAACCAAGGCCGGACCCTGAGATATTTGAAAGAAATAGACGTCGACAGACTACTCTACGTCTTCCGGGTGACCCACGGATTATCCACAAAACAAGCAACGCCTAATGGTGGCTGGGATGCTCCGGATTTTCCGTTCCGTTCGCATGTCCAGGGTCATTTCCTCAGTGCCTGGGCTCAATGTTATGCGGGACTTCGCGACCAAACATGTTATGATCGAGCGACCTACTTTGTTGCCGAGCTGGCCAAATGCCAGGCTAACAACAAGGCTGCTGGCTTCACGGACGGATATGTATCTGGCTTTCCAGAATCAGAGTTTGCAAAACTCGAAAACAGCACCCTGACAAACGGCAATGTCCCGTATTACGCGGTGCACAAGACTCTTGCAGGCCTTCTCGACATCTGGCGCTTGACAAAAGACACTACATCTCGAGACGTCTTACTGTCCTTAGCCAGCTGGGTCGACAAACGCACCGAACCGTTGAGTTACGATGCAATGCAAAAGTTGTTACAAACAGAATTCGGCGGTATGAACGAAGTGATGGCTGACCTCTACCACCAAACCGGTGATAAGAGATGGCTTACCGTTGCCCAACGCTTTGATCATGCCGTTATATTCGACCCCCTTGCAGCCGACATAGATGAGTTCGACGGTCTACATGCAAACACTCAAGTACCAAAATGGATTGGGGCCGCTCGCGAATACAAAGCCACCGGACAATCTCGCTACCTTGATATTGCCCGGAATGCCTGGGAAATAAATGTCAAATCGCACACGTACGCGATCGGTGGTAACAGCCAAGCTGAACACTTCCATGCCCCAAATGCCATCGCCGATTATCTTGATAATGACACATGTGAAGCATGCAATTCCTATAACATGCTCAAGCTGACTCGCGAGCTTTGGCTTGTTGATTCCGAGAACTCGGCATATTTCGACTTCTACGAAAACGCCTTACTCAACCATCTGCTAGGCCAACAGAATCCTCATGATCACCATGGCCACATCACTTACTTCACTCCTCTCAACGCCGGAGGTCGCCGTGGTGTTGGTCCCGCCTGGGGTGGCGGTACTTGGAGTACAGACTACGACTCATTCTGGTGCTGTCAAGGAACAGCACTCGAGACAAACACCAAGTTGATGGATTCGATCTACTTCTACAATGACTCCACGTTGTTTGTCAACTTGTTCATGTCTTCTGTCCTGAAATGGCCGGAGATGGGTATTACCCTGAAGCAATCTACGACTTACCCAGTCGGCGATAAATCGAAATTAGAAGTCTTCGGCAGTGGTCACTGGACGATGAATATTCGCATCCCTACATGGGCATCAAGCGCAGAGCTAACGCTGAATGGAAAAGCTTTACCTGATGTTAAGGCTAGTCCCGGAACTTACGCTCAGATCTCGCGCATATGGGCCGATGGAGATGTCGTTGAGATCCGCTTTCCCATGAGTCTGCGTACAGTGGCTGCAAATGACAATTCAAGTATTGCTGCAGTTGCTTATGGGCCAACTATCTTGTGCGGCAATTACGGAAACCAAACGCTGAGTAGTATTCCTACTCTCGCCCTTGACTCTATCAAACGCTCCGGGGCTTCTGGCCTTGACTTCATCTCCGTCGCTGATGGTAGAAATGTTACACTGAGCCCTTTCTATGATGCCCAGGGATACAATTATAACGTATATTGGGCTACCACGGGAAGTCTGTGAAATACAAAGTACAGAACTTCCTATGCTCATTTTAACGGCAAAAGAAGTAGTAATTTTTCAATCAATTATATTATCGTCAATTGCTCCTTGATATTTACCAGCCCGAGTATTCTAAAACCCGACAGTAAGATTGAAAATAGTGAAATGTGGGGTTCCCCGGATTGTTTCCTTATAGAGACCGGATTGCATTATAGCCTATATATTTATACTTAAGTGCTTTATCTTGTCTTGGAAATTTCTTTGGCTTACAACTCAACTTATCTAGCATCGACGGAAGACATTTTGAGGCCATGGCATTAATTCCCATCTCAGCCTTGCTTCTAGGCCTCGCGGCTTCGGCTTTGGGTTTGAGCTTCAATGTTCCGATATCCCCGCCTTCAAATTCTAGTAAGCAGCTCTCTGCAGCTCCAGTGGGTGTATCGTGAGTCTCTATCTAAGCCATTGGCGGATATAATTACTCATTGTGAAGTCTGGAGTTCTTTGCGTTCCCTGAGTACATTCAAGATGTCGAATCAACGATGACATGTCTGCAGAACCTCAAGGATCTGACAGGAACATGGCCTCCTATGCGGATCGGAGGCACAACACAGTATGTATGCTTTTATTGGTCAATACATGTTGTTAACAGTACGCAGGGACCGCGCGATATACAATAGCTCATCAACGGAGGCTGTCACTTATACAGTGGCCAGCACAGGTGCTGCGCCCGAGACTCTGACTTACGGACCGTCCTTCATCTCTTTGACTGCAGGCTATGCCGGAGAAGTCATAATTGGATTGAATCGTCGTTTGGACGATATCTTGAACACAATTTCGGCCGCGCTTCTCGCCCAGAGCAAAATGGACAATCTATACTCCATTGAACTGGAATGAGCCCAACTGTAGGTCTTAAATTACTTATCCTTGGTTGTGTAGACGCTAATTCAGCGTTCAGTTTTCGTTGACAGCGATCCTATTGCCAATGGTGCATCCTGGACAGCTGCAGCTGATGAATCATCCCAAGTCAGCTGGCAAGATGCGGTGTGCGGAAACCTCTCTGCAACTGATATCATCTCAGCAGGTGTCTACTTTGGCACTTCGCCCATGAGCCTCGCTAGCCTTACCGCGAAAGAAGGTAGTGCGAATGACTATGTGAAGGATTATTGCTCTCACAACTATCCACAGTCATCTGGCTCCTACGACCTGGCTACTCTTATGGGCCACAACAGTATCGCCACCCAGACCAAGCCTTATGCTGCTGAAGTTTCGGCGGCTTCTGGAAAAGGCAAGCCGCATATCTTCGGCGAGACTAATTCAGGTACGGTACTGTTCACTGTCACTTGATAAAAATACTAAAAATATTCAGCAACCCAAGGCGGTGGTGGTATCAGCCCAACTTTTGGTGCTGCACTCTGGATTTTGGACTACGTGATGCAGACCGTCCTCATGGGCACAAATGCTCTCTACTTCCACCAGGGTACCGTTGGAAACTGTAAGTTATCTAGAACTTCTTACCTACCCACAAGCTAACTTTCAAGGCCAATACTGCTGGTGGGGCCGCTACGACATAGGATCCCCTTACTACGGTGCTTACTTCGCCAGCATGGTGCTCGCCAACGCCGACCAGATTGCGCCTCTGGATAGCCAAGATACAGCATATGCAGCCTACGCCATCTACAAGGCTGGCGTTCCTATTCGGGTTCTTCTCTATAATTCTGACTACTATATATCTACCAGCGGAACGCGCTCGTCGCAAGTATACACACTGTCTGGGCTTTTGTCCTCCAGCGTTACTGCTAAACGGCCGACTGCCCCCTATGCCACGTCTCGGGTCGATCAGGGTCAGAACCCGACCGTTGCGGGCCAGACATTTGCCAACGGCACTTGCATTATCCAGGGTACAGAGAGCATAGAGACAGTCGCTGTCTGGCGGGAAAGCAACCTTCACTGTTGCAGCTTCGGAAGCTCTTCTGGTCTACCTGTAATTACTCGGTATTAGTTACCTAGGAAGGAGCTCGGGCAGTCTTCCTCCGAAAGCTCCAGAGATTGGGGATGGATGGAATGTGGAGGGGTTGAATTCCCTCCTATAAGCGTCATGCCGCCGGGGATTCTCTGTTTAGGGCTAGTGGTAGTAGGGGTAGAGGCCCTTGGGTTGCGTTCTATTCGATAGTAAATTTTTTCGTAAATTTTATGTATAATCTGGGGTAAAGTAAGAACAAAGGGCTTCTAAGAATTACGTTTAGCCTTGTAAATTCTGATTGATTAGTTGAGTTTCAATAAGTAGCTGAGGTCCTTCGCAAATCGATCCTTGTTAGCTCTCGAGTAAAGAGCTGAAAAAATTTCTAGCTATTCATCTTCATTTGACAAGAACTTAGGATTTTTCTTTTTCGGTACATACTGTTGTCTACTTATATATTTACGATGGATAGTTCCAAGACCAACGCTGAAAACATCGAGGATGTCTTCTCCCATCAAGAAGATGTCATGCCTACCAAGAGCATGGGGCCCATCATGCGATCTCGCGAAGACGACCTTGGTGTCTGGCAGTGTGTGCGACGGTTCAAGATCGTCTCGCTGATTGCTATGACTGCGGCGTTTAGCGCATCGCTGGATGGTTACCGTAAGCTACTGCTTTTAAAGACCTATGAGCTCTTAATTATACTGATCTGATCGCAGAAATTAATCTTAATGGCGGTATTGTCTCCAACAAGGGTTTTATTCGACAGATGGCTTCCCCAGGCACATCCATCATTGCAGGCAAATACATCTCCGCATGGGGTGGTATCCAATCCGCCGGTCAAACTATCGGTCAAGTTGTACGTCTTTTGGATCTTCAGGGCCGATCTGGCGAGTGTCTAACTACTCTCTAGTTCCTCCAATATGCCACAGAAAAGTTCGGTCGGAAAATCGCGTTCTATATAATCTGGCTCGATATTGTCATCAGCGTGTTTATTGAATCTTTCGCAACAAGATGGGATCACTGGCTTGCAGCAAAACTCTTCTCTGGAATGGGTGTCGGTATGCTGCAATCCACGTTACCTCTCTACTTGTCCGAAATCGCCCCAACCCAGCTGCGAGGTTTCTATATCAACGCGTACAGTTTGTGAGTTAAAAGGATGGCACCTCGGGGGCATTATTTGCTGATTCTTTTCCAGCTGGTTTGTGGTTGGTCAGATCTTCGCGTCAGTGGCACTCAAGGAACTCAGCGCAAATGACCCATATGGATTCCGAGTCCCTATCTATACACAGGTTCGTGGTGTCCCGTGTGTGATTTAGCTTTCATGGTCAAGATAGTCACTGACAATTGCCATGAACGGTCAGTGGGCTATGGTTGGTATCATTGCCATCATCTTCGCCTTCATCCCAGAATCTCCCTGGTGGCTCGTGAGCAAAGGAAAGCTCGACAAGGCAGCCAAGATCCTAACTCAGTGCAATGGCAATATTGAGGGATACAGCGTTGACGAGCAGATTGTATGTGATTATTCTGTCAATCGTATTTCAACAAAGTTCTAATTTCCTATCAGGAAGTCATGACTGCCACCATTGCAGAGGAGCGCGCCGTTGCAGAGCGTAACTCCGAAGAGGGACCATGGGCTGTTTTCCAGGGCCGCAATCGGATTCGTTTCTTTATTGCAGCTTGGCCCAAGATTGCTCAGTAGCTTGTCGGCTTGTCCGTGTTCAACACCTACGCTACATATTTCTGTGAGTACTAATCGTCTCATACTGTTCTTTCACTCTGTTAATATTGTCCTAGTTCAATATGCTGGCAACAAAGACCCATTCATGGTAACGGTCATTTTATCTTGTGTCCAGTTGATATCTATGATTATGACTGCTGTCACACGGACAAGCTTGGTCGTCGTCCGTTGACAATCTACCCCTATGCGGTTACATCTGTGTCAGTTTTATGCCTCGGAATTATTGGCTGCTTCGATTACACCAAGCCATCGACTAGTTCACTTCTGGCAAGCCTTTCTCAAGAGCCCGACGTAACTTTGGATAGCTTACTAACTGTACCTAGATCTTTTTCGCTTGTTTGGCAACTTTGTCTACTACTTGTGCGTCGGCTATTGGCTATGCCTATGCCGCTGAGATTCCCCAGCAACGCTTGCGTGCAAAGACAGCCGGCTGGGCTCTTGCATCGTCGAATTTAGTCGCTATCATGTTCAGTTTCTGCACGCCCTTGATGATCAATAATGCACCTGTCTCACACTGGGGTGTGAAAACTGGTTTCTTGTCAGTCTTCTGTCGTCTTGTTTAAGTTCAGTCTGTCACTGCAAAATGCTGACAGCCTATCTCTTATAGCTTTGCGGGTACAGGCACACTTGCAGTAATTATCGCTTGGTTTATTCTTCCAGAAGTGACACGCCGAACACCAGCTGAGATTGATGAAATGTATGTCAACCTTCCACCTGGGGTCTTCTTAATGGACTTGGATAACGCGTTTTATGTTCTAGGTTCGAGAAGAAGGTCAACCTTCGGAAGTTCAAGGGTTATGTCACTGAAATGCAGCTGCGAGGAGTATGAGGTGGCCACAGCTTAAGTGTAAGCTATAATACATTATGCAATTCAAGGACGACTTTTCAATATATAATCTTGAAGTATCTTGATAGAATCCGTAAAATGTTCAATTTAATGATATATTGGCTGAATACATCCCTCCAGCCTAAAAGCTATTATTTACAAACCCTTATTCGCTAATTTAATTCAATTGCTGTTTCTTCTCGTCGTGAGATGCCCCGAACCCCCGGCCCCTGCCCCCGCCGGAAGTTATACAAACTCGTCGGAACTCCCGAGATGAACGGAAACAATGCGCAAATATGGTCTCACCAGAAGAGCAAAAGGTATTTTCCTTATATCTTGAGTTCCATGGAATAAATTTCTGACTTATTGTGGCTGGAAAGACAATCGACGAGCTCCAGGCTAACTGGATCTAGGTTCCAAACTAGACTGACTCTTCAGACGCGAACACAGCTGGCAAGATAGTTCACTTTACGCGGAATGTTATTTTGTCGTCGCGACCGATGAAATCAGTACTGTATTTCTCAGCCGATACACGTTACAAGCTCTATGTGAACCGGAAGCATATTGCCGTCGGACCGAGTCGCAGCAGTCCTTTGATCTGGTATTACGACACGCTGGACATTGCACCCTACCTGCAAGAAGGACAAAATGAGATTCGATTTACGGTTGTCCGGTACTTCGCGACTTCGAGGAGCGCAATACCCTTTGCGCGGACGGCTCTTCCAGGCTTGACAGTTATTGGAAATATCGAGACAGATGAGGAGGTCGTCGATCTTGCTTCTTCCAAGAATTGGAGAGCATCTGTGGATGAAAGCATTGAGTTTCCGACGGGATTGGCTGACGATGTGTTCCTTCATGTGAGAATGGCTCAGGATCGAAGCCCTCTTGAATTGCACTGACATTCTTTCTCAGATCAGCGAGCGCGTTGTTCCTACAAACCCCGGTCCTGCGGTGGTACCATTTGCCTACAAAATAAAGACCCTCAATGGCGATATTCCGCCGTGGAATCTACGTCCACGCTCTATCCCCATGCCCGAGTCAACCCCAGCCGTTGTAAAAACCATCAGAGCACGCGACAGTGTGATCGAGGTCAGAGATTGGACAGCCTTCTTCGCAACAAACCACTCTATCGTCCTTCTTGCAAGCTCAACTCATACACTTGAAGTGCAAGCCGATGTCCATTCGACTGCATTCCTTCGATGGGCCTTCAAAGCAGCCAAACACACTTCTCAGATCAGACTCAAAGTGACACACTCAGAAGGCTATGAGCTTGAGCCTCGATCATACCCTTTCTTCCGCTCCAAGGCTGACCGGCTGAATGCAAGTGTTGGCCACATTATCGGACCATACGATGAAGTGACACTTAATCTTCCTGACACTGAAAGTGTCGTATACGAACCATTTTGGTTCCGAACCTTTCGCCTTCTGAGGATCGAAATCACTGTAGGCTCCGAGCCAATCGAGCTGGTATCATTTGATGCTACTCAGGTCAACTACCCCATGGCCGTCAAAGCCAGCTGGAAAGAGCCCGGTGACGCGCACAGCGAGCAGATCTGGGCCGTTTCCATCCGGACAATGCGAAACTGCATGTTCGACGGGTATTCCGATTGCCCATTCTACGAACAATTACAGTATGCCTCATACATTCCCAAATCCATACCCCAGCTAACAATCCAGATACTCCGGAGACAGCCGCTCCGTTGGTCTATTCCACTACCTCCTCTCGGGCGACGACCGACTGATGCGCCAAGCAATTACAAATTTTGCAGCCTCAATCACACCCGAAGGTCTCACACAGTCCCGCTTTCCCTCACAAATACCGCAACTCATAGCTGGGTTCTCCCTGTATTGGGTCCTGCAGGTCTGCGACCACCACCTATACTTCGGCGATACCCGCTTCGCGCGAGGCTTCATCCCGCATATCGACGGTATTCTCGACTTTTTCGATGCCCACATCGACGAGCTGGGTCTGGTCAGCGGACTGCCTGAAGTCGTCTGGCAATATGTTGACTGGGTGACGACCTGGGGTGCAACGGACGACCATCCCGACAAAGGAGTTCCGACCTCCGGACGAAAATCCAATAGACACACTTATTTTAGTATGTTGTACGCGTGGGTTCTACAAAATGTTGCTGGTCTGGTGCGTGATGTTGGTCGGCCAGGACATGCTGCTGAGTATGAAGCGAGGGCGGCATCGCTTCTAGGGGCTATTGGGGCTCATTGTTATGATGGGCAATTCTTCACCGACTCGACAGCTGATGTTGCCGATGAGCTGTCGTATTCTCAGCACTGTCAGGTCTTCGCTGTTATTTGTGGAGCGGCAAGGGCCGAAGACTCTGCACGGATCTTGACTGAATCGTTTACCAATGATCGCTTCTCAAGGTGTTCGTATATGATGCGGTTCTATGCATTCGGGGCATTTTCTTTGGCTGGCGAGGATTTGTACGAGTCATTTTGGGAGAGAATGTGGGCTCCGTGGCGAGGGATGCTGGCGAATAATCTTTCTACTTGGGAGGAGGATGATGTTAGACAAAGGTCTGATTGCCATGCTTGGGGGAGTGTGCCAATTTATGAGTATTGTACTGAGCTGGCGGGTGTTCAGCCGGTCGCTGCTGGCTCATCGAAGATATCTTTCAGGCCCAGGCTACGGTTGACAGAAGCGTTGGAAGCGAAGGTGGCGCTGGGTAAGGATAATCTGGCTATGATCTCGTGGAAGCTCTCTGGGAACGAGAAGATTGTGGAGTTTAGTCTTGAGAAGCCGGCTGAGGTTGTGAGTCGATTGCCGGGAGGCAAAGAGGAAGAACATGGGGTTGTAGATCATCTCAGCTTTCTTTTCAGCGATTAAAAAGGCTTCTTGTTTGGACTCAGGGACGGGCGGCAGCGATCCATGTCCCCCCCCCCCCCCGGTGTTCCTTTTCTATGCTCGAACTTGTCGCATTCTAATTGGTGATTATCTCGGATACCCACAGTATTCCCCTGTCCCGCGCTGGTTGTTGAAAACTGCCACACCCCGCTGCCCTACATTAATCTACAGAGTCCTTACCTCAACTTCTTTGTACAATCAAGCTATAGCTAGCATTAAATTCCGGTCGCATTTAATCAATTAGATATTGTCTACCATCCAGCATTCAATTATCATTTCCTCAATTATCTCTATCATTAGTGGTGGTAGAATTAATTTCAATTACTTCATAGTGACAGATCAGGTGATCATGTAATCTCTAAATAGCTTCATGGTATCAGATCAGCTGACTTGATAAGGAGACTATGTTGTATTGTAGGGTGGTGGGAAAAGCGGGTATAACTATAGGAATAGCCAATCATTTCATAGTCGCGATTGCACCCCCTCTACACAATCTATCTTAGTCGACCTCCTCACTCTACTCCGTAACGATCGCATTATCCCGAGCAGCATTCAGAATGGCAGAACTCCCGGAACGACTGGATCGCTTGCGGTCCACCATCGAAGATTTGATGCGCATCGGCGGGACCCCAGGGCTCTCGCTCGCAGTCATGTCGAGCGGAAACACTGTTTACGAGTCAAGTTTTGGCGTCCGAGACACAGCAGCTGGTCTACCCGTCACTGAGGAAACAATCTTTCCCATATGTTCGTTGACAAAGGCTTTGACTGCCTCTGCGATGGCGATTCTTGTCGACGAGGGTAAACTCACCTGGGATACACTAGTGAAGGACGTTCTTCCATCCTTTGATTCAAGCGACGAGACGCTGCAGAATCACTTGACTATCACGGACATACTATCTCATCGATCAGGCATGGCTTGGGCTGGTAATGTGGTCCTCGGTACCGAGAACAACGTTCTCATTCCAGGAAAGGATGGACTGAAATACATCAATTCACAGCCGCGGGTTCTTCCGTTCCGGACAGGAATGTCCTATAACAATCTTCAATATAACCTTGCAGGTTATGTCATCGAGGAAGTCAGTGGCATTTCGTGGTTTGAGTTTGTGCAGAGCCGTATTCTCGATCCTCTCGGCTTGGATCGAACCTACCTTAAATCTCCACCTCCGGGCACCCAAAATGTCACTCAGTGCTACAACGCACTTGATGATGGATCCACTACTCCAATTCCTAGCCCTAAGGGAGGCCAAGATTGGTTTGGTGGACCAAGTGGTGGCGCCTGGTCCTGTATCCGTGATCTTTTGAAGCTATACAAAACGTTCACGGCTAGCTTTAAAGATCAATTTATCACCGGGAAGGGAGTGACCAAAGACTCTCCCTTCAAACAAGTTTCTCATCTCACTTCCGCCAAAATTCCTATGGATCAACCCTCGAGGAACGAGCTATCATACGCACTTGGATGGGTCAGAGCCCAGCTTCCCAATCGGCTAGGTCATATCGGAATCAATCCTGGTCTGATGCCCAATGGCATGCCTACCGTTGGGAAAGGCGTTCCCTCACAGTTCATTCTTTTCCACCAGGGCAGCCTACCTGGCGCCCTCGCAATTGTGATTCTACTTCCAGACACTGACAGTGTTATTGTTGTACTGTCTAACTCTTTGGCCTTGAATGATGTTCCTGACTGGGTTGGCCAACTCATCCTTGAAGAGCTGCTCGAGGTTCCAGAATCAGAGAGAAATGATTACATCGAAGCAGCCCACACCTCAGTCGCCGAGAGCTTGAAGTGGTATCCAGCACTGGTGGGAGAGCTAGGCTCGGCTCGAAAGAACGGAACATCACCTAGAGCACTGGAGGAGTATGTCGGTACTTACTGGGATAATATCAATGTGTTCAAGATTGTTGTGAATTTGGTGGACAACAAGCTTTACTGGAGGCTGCAAGGGCTGGAGTCAGAAAAGTTCCGACTTGAACACTATGAAGATGACGCCTTCACTTGGCTACTTCCACGGAACGAGTTATCTAGACGTGGCCGCTGGGTGGGCTGGGACCAAGCGGCACCTTTCTGGAAAGCCGTATTTGAATGCAACGACAATGGGCGCATTGACAAGTTGGTTTGGGAACACGATACCGGTGTTCCGCCAATGCAGTTGACGAAGGAGGAAAGCAGCAAGCTATGATCAAACCTCGAGAAAGCTTAAAGAGAACAGATGCTAACCGGGAGTCCGAGTTACGCTTTTTGGTATGGCAAGGTCGGACAAATTGCTATAAATGTCGTCGTGGAAGCCGGTATCCGGAGATACAAAAGAAGAATATGGCGAAACAATATGGTGGATGCGGCCTATATATAGCTCTCTTTACTTGATATATCGGCATAGCCAGGTGAAGACACGGTGCTTTCTGTCTTATTTTTTTGCCAGAATGAGACTTACCTTTGGGGAGATATGCTATCTTTCTTCCTTTGAGTATGCTTGCAAGAAATTATGCTTTTGATGAATATTCATGAAACCTATTGCGACAAAGTCTTACTAGATTTATCTCGCTTGTCTTGGACTGTTTCTCAATCCTAACGTTCCGGACACACGAGTCTCACCAATCACCTCCAGTACATTCTTGCACCACATACCCTCAAAAACATGAGAGCCTATCCCCGGATCCACATACGGGAATATGCAGAATGGAATGCAACAGACAGGGATCGCCAGGGGCACGCATTCCAGGCAGGTGCGGATGAAGCGTTACCTAAATACTAGCAGCCTTTCCGATGCGTCGATCATCTTTATTCAACCTAGATCATGCTGCCATATTTGTTCCTGTCGTTATTTTCAACCAGTCGCATCTTAGTTAATGCCGCAGATCGCCCTCCAGTGGAAGATTATGATGTTCTACAATACATCAATCCCTTGATTGGTAGCGCTAACGGAGGTAAGTTCAACAGTTAAATCAGTCAAATTCATGCTAACGACCAATTCTCCACAGGAAATGTGTTTCCAGGAGCCTCGCTTCCATACGGCATGGCGAAAGCCGTCGCCGATACAGACTCAGAAAGCAACCAAGGAGGCTTCGCCCACGAGGGCGGCAGCGTCACCGGATTCTCTAGCATGCACGACTCCGGCACTGGCGGCAGTCCTTCGTTAGGTAATTTCCCTCTCTTTCCCTATGCAAAATGCATCGGCGATGATGTCAATGGCTGTGTCTATCCGAAGAACCAACGAAAAACGATGTATAAGCCCGACTCCGTGCAGGCGCATCCGGGATACTTTGCTATAGAGCTAGCATCAGGGGTCCGAGTTGATATGACAACTGCGCACCATACGTCCCTGTTTCGCTTCCAGTTCCCAAGTGATAACACCACAAGTCCATTGATCTTGCTGGACCTTACCGATCTGTCGAACTCCCGCCAGGACAATGCGACTATCTCGGTGGATAACACAACAAGTCGAATGACCGGTGATGCGCGGTTCGCTCCTAGCTTTGGATCGGGATCGTACTTGTTACATTTCTGTGCGGACTTCAAAAGCCCGGCAGCCCAGCGAGATAGTGGCATCTTTGTCAATTCTCGTGCCAGTGCTGATGTTCATGATTTGAAAATCTCCCGCAGTATCAATGGGTACCCGCTTCCAGTGAGTAGAAAGCCTTTCTTTTATATAGAGACAAGGATTGACATTCCGTAGGGTGGTGGATTTGTCCGCTTTGAGTCTGCCGCGGACAACACGGTCCTCGCTCGAGTTGGTGTCAGCTTCATGAGTACAGAGCAAGCATGCGCTCATGCGGAGTCTGAGATTCCAAACTTTGACTTCAACGCAACCCACCAGATAGCAGTCGAAAAATGGACCGAGAAGATGCGCCCGATCCGTGTCTCACGAACAAACATCGATGCATCCGTTCTGTCCAATTTCTACAGTGGAATCTATAGGACTATGATCAACCCCCAGAACTACACAGGCGAGAACCCGCTCTGGCAGAGCAGTGAGCCTTATTTTGATTCGTTCTATTGTCTTTGGGATTCTTTCCGCTCCCAGATCCCTTTCCTCACTATCTTCGATCCTTCCTCGGTAATGCAAATGGTGCGCTCACTCATTGACACCCAGCGCCACCTAGGCTGGCTGCCGGACTGCCGCATGTCACTCTGCAAAGGATATACACAAGGCGGTTCTAATGCCGACAACGTCCTGGCAGATGTCTACCTGAAAGGTCTCAGAGATGGCATTGATTGGGATGCCGGGTACGCAGCTGTGCAAAAAGACGCCGAAGAGGAACCATACGACTGGTCCAGCGAAGGCCGTGGCGGTCTACGCAGCTGGAAGGAGCTACACTATATCCCCGTGGAAGACTTCGACTACGAGGGGTTCGGCACAATGACGCGCAGCGTCTCACGCACACTCGAGTATTCCTACAACGACTTCGCCATCGCGCAAATGGCTCGCGGCATGAACGAGACAGCCGATGCAGAGCGGTACGAGAAAAGATCACGATACTGGCAAAACCTATTCAAACCAAATCAGGCCTCTTTCTGGAAAGGAAGGGACACTGGCTTCACCGGTTTCTTCCAGCCAAAGCATCTTAATGGAACATGGGGCTTCCAAGATCCCCTCGCATGCTCGAACATCGACGAGAGCGGACACGCCTGCTCACTGCAAAACACCGCGGGCGAAACCTTCGAATCCAGCATCTGGGAGTATCAATTGTAAGCCCGCTTCCCCCAACCCAACGCCCACCTTTATTCCCACCCCTTATAACAATCCCCCAGCTTCGTCCCCCACGACATGCAAACCCTAATAACCCTCCTCGGTGGCCCCACCAACTTCGTCACCCGCCTTGACTACCTCCACGACCGAAACATAACCTACATAGGCAACGAGCCCGCCTTCCTAACCGTCTTCCAATACCACTACGCCGGCCGTCCGGCGAAATCGACATCCCGCGTGCGCGCCTACATCCCAGACTACTTCTCGCCGACGCCAGCCGGACTCCCAGGCAACGACGAC